CCCTCTCTTTCATAAATAAATGAGATCTTTAAAAATTGAAACATAATTAACATACAGTGTTGTATTAGTTTCAGACATACAACATATTGATTCAACAATTCTATACGTTAGTCAGTGCTCACCATGATAAAAATGTAGTGACTCTCTGCCACCAAACAATATAATTACAATATTGACTCTATTCCCTATGCTGTACTTTTCATCTCTGTGACTTATTTATTTTATAAATGGAAACCCCTTAATCCCCTTTATTTCACCCATCCCCCTAGTGACCTCCCCTCTAGCAACCATCAGTTTGTTCTCTGTATTTAAGAATCTGGTTTTGTGTGTGTGTGTATTACTCTCTTTTGTTCTTGAATGTGCTTATTATTTATCTGAACTATATTATTTGTTGGCTGTCTCTCCCTCCAGAATGTAAGTTAGGATAACCTTTAGTGTTGTATTCACCACTCTCCAGAACTATACATGGCAAATGATGTGATCTCAAATAACAGCAGTTCTCTTGTTAAGGTAATTAATGCCCTCTACATTGCAAAATCCAAAGGTGGCTTTTGGATTCAACCTTTCAACAACAGTGGACACTGTGGACCATTGTCTTTCTCTCAACTACCGTATTGCTTCCTTCCTGGCTTTCCTCAGATCTCGCCAGAGGTTACTTTTCAGACTCTTTCTAGGATCTTCTTCTGCCCAGAATTCAAATAATAGTGTTCTCTTAGTTTAGTCCTGGGCCTCCTTCTTTGCCATATCTAAATTCTCTTCCTATGCATTGTACCTTTTTCTGTGGCATTAAATACCATCTTCATTTTGATAACATCAACTACCAAGTTTACCTTAACTTTGAAATACAGACTTACATATCCAAGTGTCTGTTTGACATGTCTATCTGGATGCTTAATAGTCACTGCGAACTTAACATGTTGAGAACAGAATTTTCTATTATCTTTCTTACAATCTTGATTGGTCCCACTCCAAGCCCCCACTGCTCAGCTTCCTCTTGTTCCGCTCTTCCCCTAAATTACTTTGCTTCAGTTATATTGGACTTGTTTGCCTCTCCCACCCCCTGAATTTTGTTTTATTCACTACTGTATCCCTAGTGCCCAGAACAGTGCCTGGCAGGTACTGTTAGGTACTGGTGGATGCTCGATATATAAAGTTATTGGCTGAATCGATGAATGATTGTTCCTCAAAACACATGGCAAGGGCTTGTGCACCCACTGTTCCCCAAGCTGTGGAGGATCTTCCCCTGACTGTTGTATGGCTGGTTCTTTCTCATTCAGGTCTCAAACTTCAAAATCACTTCCTCAGCAAGGAAATGCCTCCCTGAAGTTGCCTCCCAGTCTCTATTTGTAACACCGTGTTTAATTTTCATCAATGCATTTATCACTGCCTATTATCTTTGCTTACTAATTATTTAATGTTGTTTTTCCTATCCGGCTTTAGTGTAAGGTCCACGAGTACCGGGGATTTGTCTGTATCTTCCATGCCTAAAGCAGCGCCTGACACGTATTAGGCATTCAACCTGCATTTGTTGAATGAATGAATGAATGAATGAATGAGAGAAACCCAGGGCCGTCAGGCCTCAAAGATAATGCTCCTGCACTCTTAGAACTGTTTTCTCTGACTGGTTAAGTAGTAGTTTCTTCTCCTGATATTTTGTAAGTTCTTACTGCCTCCACGTACAAGGAAATATATAAAGGCTCTGAACTTCTGAAACCAGACAACATATTCCCTTGCTACCTTTCACCTGAATATTCTTAGCAAACAATAGTGGAACACGAATCATGTACCAGGCTCTATGTTAGGTGCTGAAGACAGAAAGTTTTATAATGCACAGTTACTTTCCTCAGAAAGGTTACGGAGGTTTCGGAAATACATAACCCAAGTACATTTCTTAGATTTTACGTTGGTTTCAATCTCTCTAACCCTTGTCCCTTCGCTTTCTGAGCCGCAGACCAAACGCAACAGGGTTGCGTCATTTCGGTCCTAGCCCCAGCACCCAGCGCCCCGCTCATGGATCCGCCCCCAGCGGAAGCGTCCTGCCCTTGGCCACGCCCCCAGCCGCTCTAAGCCTCAGGGGCGGGGCCTGCAGTGTCCACTCGTGTTCTCCAGCGCGACTCAGTGACAATGACGTAACACTCGCGCACGGACCTTCGCTGCGGCGCTGCGGACAGACTTCCCTGCGCCGCGGCCGGAGCCCCTGGCGTTGCGGTGCGGCCGCGCGCGGACAGACTTCCGCAACAGGATTCCGGCCTGGCAGCCGCCTGGCAACCGCCCGCTCACCCAGAGCCATGGCCGCAGCCGGTGGGCCGGAAGCTGCTGGACGCTGCCCCCTTCTCAGCCTCCTTTTGCTTCTGCTGATCGCGGGCCCTGCCCTCGGCTGGGAAGACCCTGGTGAGTGCTGTCGTCACCCGTCCCTTTCTGTCGCGTACAGCTAGCGCTCAGAGGCCCAGCGGGCGACATTTCCGTTCGCCTCCGCTTGGGCCTTTCAGCCCTGATTTCTCATTTCCATCTTCTTCCCTCTTCACCTGCGTCCTGCCTGTTCCTTTTGCTCTTCTCAGACGTCCTACGGGACAAGTGGGGACTGTTGGGAAGTCGGCGGGGCGGGACGATTCTGTATTCTTACGGTCCCCTTTCTCCCTTCCCTGGACTCCCAGAATTTGTCTACCTTCTCCTTTCTCGGACTACAATCCTCATCCCTAAGAATAACTGGAAAGCTCGGCTCTCACCTGCTCCTCTTGCTTTGTTGTCATGACTGTCTGAAGTCATCTTCCCTGCCTGTTGTCATGGCTGCCTGTTGCTATAGCTGACAGTTGCCACAGCACCGGCAGTCTGTGAGTCACACTTAGTGGGCAGCGATGTAAACCTTGTAGGTAGGTTAGCAGAGTCGTAGACTGTACTACTTACATGAGCAGAACCCATGCTTCTTATTCTGACCACTACAGTGAAGTTCATCTCGTTACGTAGGCTTTTCTTCTTTTTCACCGCACACTGGAATTTAAAAAACATTTTATTGTTATTTTTTTGTGTGCGATGATACATGATAAGTGATTTCTGGAGAAGAGATTTTTTTTTATTACTATGTTATTAGAATATTCTAAAGAATTTTTATGGGATAAATAATATTCCGTGTAATTAATATGTGTATATATACACAAACATAAAGGTTTCCATTTAATGACGCATGTTGTTAAATTGGAGTGATGTAAGAAATGACTTTTATTTATTTTTAATTTTTATTTTTTTAAAGATTTTATTTATTTGACAGAGACACAGCGAGAGAGGGAACACAAGCAGGGGGAGAGGGAGAGAGAGAGGGAGAAGCAGGCTTCCCACAGAGCAGGGAGCCTGATACGGGGCTCGATCCCAGGATCCTGGGATCATGACCTGAGCTGAAGGCAGACGCTTAACGACTGAGCCACCCAGGCGCCCCAAGAAATGACTTTTAAATAGAACATTTTTTGTTTGGAGAATGAAGATGTTAAAGCGTGAAAGGTATCAACATTGCATTTGTGACTTGGGTGATAGGAAATGCCCATGTTTCTTAAGCAAGAGATTCACTTCTGTAATATCCTATTTTATTCCTAAATGCTGAAATGAGAGAGAAGGTGCTGTTTGCAAATACTTGGCTTTGAGTAACTGATTTGATGTGGATGTTTTATTAGTAATAAAAGACAGGTTGGCTTTAAATGTCCATTTATTTATGTATTCCTAGAAAGTTGTATATACAGAGGACATTTTGATCAGAATTATAATTTAAAAACAGGACTGAAACAGTTGAACCATCAATTCTGTTTTTTTTTTTTGAAGACTTATTTATTTGAGAGAGAGAGTGTGCGTGTGTGCTCGCGTGAACGCATGTGCAGGGGGAGGAGCGGAGGGAGAGAATCTCAAGCTGACTCCGGCTGAGCGGGGAACCCAGCTTGAGGCTTTATCCCACCACGATGAGATCATGACCTGAGCTGAAATCAAGAGTCCTATGCTTAACCAACTGAGCTACCCAGGCGCCCCGAACCCTCAATTCTTAATAAAAAAAAAAAAAGGAAGTTTACAGATGAAGAGTCAGGGAAATTAAAAAAAGGAACCAAATTTAAATGAATGGTAAACCACTTCTTGGTAGCTCTTAGTCTATCTAATGTATAAACTATTGTTCTGGAACAAAAAGCACCAAAATATTTTGCAGAGTAAACACAATCGATTTTTATAAATTCTACTTTACCTTAAATTTACTTTGAGGAACTGTTCTGTAAAAGTTTTATTGGGTCAAGTTTTATCAAGCCTTGTAATAAAACAATAATCATTCCCTAATTTTTTTTTTACTTTGGATGCACTTTGTCTTTAGCTAACATAGAGTGATAATTTGTCTGGAAAAAAATTGTACCAGTTCTAAAGAGATTACCGGACTTTTCAAAATTCTTTATGGAATTATTTTATATTTAAGTCACTTTTCTGGGTGTTGGCAATATAGCAGTGAACAAAAGTGAGCATTTTGCCCCCAGAGAGTTTACATCTATTGAGGAGAAATAAACAATACACAAATTGGTGAGTAGCATGTCATATCATGAAAAGTGGTATGGGCAATGATAACACAGGGGAAGGGAGACAGGGTGTGCAGCTAGAAGTGGAACTTTCAAAATATACATTGGTCAGGGAAGAAGTCACTGTTAAGGTGACATTTGATCAGAAACCTGAGGGTAGAGGAGGGATAACCATGACTTGCATTTTATTTTATTTTATTTTATTTTTTTAAAGATTTTATTTATTTATTTGAGAGAGAGAGAATGAGAGAGAGCACATGAGAGGGGGGAGGGTCAGAGGGAGACGCAGACTCCCTGCAGAGCAGGGAGCCTGATGCGGGACTCCATCCAGGGACTCCAGGATCATGACCTGAGCCGAAGGCAGTCGCTTAACCAACTGAGCCACCCAGGCGCCCCATGACTTGCATTTTAAAGGCTCATTCTGTCGTCTCTGTGGAGAACAGACTGTAGGAGGTCCGGGGAAGCAGGGAGGCCAGTGAAGAGGCTGCTGGTACAGTGAGTTCCAAGAGTAGGGATGGTGTGGCCAGCGGAGAAGCAGTGGAGTTGGTGAGAGTGATTGGATTCTCACCTGTTTAGAAGGTTGAGCTGACATGCTATTCTGATGGATTAGATGTAGGGGTGAGAGGAGAGGACAAAGGTGATCCAAATTTTTGGCCTGAGTGACTAGAAGTGTGGAGTGACCATTACCTGAGAGATGTGGAAGATTGTGAGAGAAGCATGTTTGGTTTTGTTCATCTTAAGTTTGAGACCTGTAAATGGATTTCCATTTGTGAGTCTGGACTTGTGGGAACTCCCCGTGACCCTTGACTGATACAACTAGTGGTGGATGGGTATGAGCCCTTTGTTCTTAGACCTCGTCTCACTTTGGGCTGCAATAACAAAATACCATGGTTTTTTTTAAAGATTTTATTTATTTGAGAGAGAGAGAATGAGAGAGAGAGCCTGAGAGGGGGGAGGGTTGGAGGGAGAAGCAGACTCCCTGCTGAGCAGGGAGCCTGATGCAGGACTCAATCCTGGGACTCCAGGATCATGACCTGAGCCCAAGGCAGTCGCCTAACCGAGTCACCCAGGTGCCCACAAAATACCGTGATTGGTTGGCTTAAACAGCAAGCATTTATTTCTCATATTCTGGAGGCTGGGAAGTCCAAGATCAGGGTGCTAGCAATGTTTGGTGTCGGGTGAGGACCCTCTTCCTCGTTTGCAGGTGAGGATCCTCTTCTTGGTTTGCAGATGATTGTCTTGTTATGTCCTCACATGGCAGAGAAAGAGAAGGCTCTGGTCTTTTCCTCTTCTTATAAAGGTCTGCTATCATAGGGGCTTCATCCTCAAGCCCTCATCTAAAACTAATCACTTCCCAAAGTCCTTGCCTCCAGATATACTGACATTGGGATTAGGGCTTCAACATAGGAATTTTTAAGGCCACAAAACAGCGACCTTTAGGAGATCTAGGGAAGAAAAATGCTGTAGGGTTATGGTAATGAAACCCAGTGTGTACATAGCTCCTTCAACATTCTCAGTAATATATATTGTACTTGATCATTTATTATGTGTCAAGTACTCTGCAGGACAGTTCTAGTAAATCATACCTAAGCTTCACAACCTATTTTAAGGTTGATAAATCAAAGCTTCATGACCAGTTTTAAAGTTGATATTATCTTCTTAATTTTACAAGTGAGGAAACTTCTATGCAGATAAATTAAGTGACTTGGCCAAAGTCATACAGCAAGTTGGTGATGGGAATTTAGTTCAGTGTTCTTTGCATTATCTCAACCCTGCTACAATAATTTGAAGTTATTATTATTCCTGTTACTTAGTTTAATAATACCTTATGACTTTAAACCTTTGAATATTTTCATTGTTACAGTTTTTTATGTATGAGGTGGTCGTTTGGGGTTAATATACCATATTTTATTTTAATATAGTTCTTGGAAATTTTAGGTCTTCAGCCCATGTGGAATTAAGTTTTTATATTGCTGTGGATTTTCTTCTAGCTGCATAGTCAATTATGTTGGTGTCATGTATTAAAGAAGGCACTCTTTTTTTTTT